ACAAAAAGAAACTCAATTATGTATGGGTTGCTTCCATAAAAAAAAGCATCATGATGATAGATCATTTCCAAAACATAATTTTCTTAGTAGGATTTGTTGAATTATTCTTTAATTAGTCAAAATTTTGAGGATGTGGTAAATAAAAAAGCGGTTTTGACAGAGTCTTCAAAAGATAGACTAGGTTTCAAAAGTCAATATTACACTTTTACCCCAACAAAAAAGTCAACATTACCGCAAATGCTTGTGTAGTGAGTAGAGACATCATCAACGAGATGGTCAAAGTTTGGGACATAAGCACTAAGCCCATCAGATTTTCCATGTCCTTCGTAATCAATTCCATATACCGCAAATCCTGCTTTCACAAGCCTCCTTGCAGTACCTAATCCAATCATATATTAATTTCAAACATTGTTAACAAAGCTTTTGATGAATACAACAATATACAAAGAAATCTTTAATTGGGCTGAACAATCTCAACTGTTCATGGTGATGCTACATTCCATTGCATAACCATGGCAAATGAAGACTAAAGCCTTTGGCTCTTGATTTGCTGGTACCCATTTACACGTGAACAGTTTCATTCCTCGAGTGTTCTTGATGAAACTCTGCATATACATAAATAAATAAATAACCACCAATCAAAAACCAGATTTCTCTATCTATATGAAAAAACAGAACACAAACGACAAACCTCTTCATACTTGATGTTCTCTGTTTCACTTGCCTGCATACCAAAAACCCAATTCATTACACAAGAAGAACAAATTTAAAACAATTTCAGATATTATATGAAAGAGATAGAAACCAGAGAGTATTAAATCTTAACGTCACTAACCATTCTTACGAAGAGATTTCGTCTGAATCTCTCTAGTTTTGTTGGATGGAGACACGAGTTTATGATAAGAGATATCGAGTGTTTGTTGTACGGCTCTGTTTATATTGGGTAGGATTTTGAGGAAGAGGACTATACGTTATAATGCGACACCGTTTTTTGTCTGAGAGCGACGATTTAACAGATTCTCTTCGCACCCCTACACGGCAACACGTTTTTTTTGTTACTTCTTAATAAAAGATAAAATATTCCTTGACAAGTGGCAATTCAAGTTTGGCGACGTTTAAAAGTACCCCCTCAACTTTATAAATAACGCAAATAGTACCTTAAGTCTTAAATTTATCAGAAAACACCCCCTCAAAGTCTTTCACTTTTGGGGGAGTAAATTTGGTGAAAGAATTTTGACAGTGTTTTCTTAGGTTTTTCATTTAGCAAATTAAACTCACATCTAATACGCTTGGAGATGTTAATGAGGTGAAAATCAATCTTTTTGAAGAGTAATGTCAAATCTTAAAATTTTATCTTAAAATAATGTTTGATTTATCTATTCTGTATTACAAATATAAAAACGAACGATCATAAGAACCATCAAATGAAGCGTCTAGAAAGTCAAATCTACAATTTCTACTACTTAATTTACATCTTATAAAATGTCAACTCTAACATTAGATGTAAAACTAAGTTATGTATACTCCGTTGACTAACTACCTGCAAAAAAATTTAAACAAATTAGATACACTTTCACTATTTTTATTTTATTTTTTTTGTTAAATTGTGATTCCGCATCAACTTTCACAATTTTTAAGATTTTAATTTCATGATTGACCACTATTTTATTAACTCAATGCTTCAAAGATACGGCAAGAAATATTTTAATTTTTGGATCCCCGTATCCGCGTGTGGCAGTGGCAGTGGCATATCATTGCTCGTTTGCAAAAATTCGGCAGCCTTTGACGAATGAGTCGGTTGGCTTGTTTAATATATTTTTTTTTCAAGTATGTAAAAATTGGTGATCAAGATTCAAGCGACGACTGTAAGATAAAATTAAAAATTACAAAATTTGTGGTCGGTTTTTCGATTCAAAGACTCTTAAACCATTCAACATGCCGAATTTTCAGCAGAATATGTAAGCACATATTAAATAAAGATGTTTTTTTATTCTTAAATTCAAAGTCATGACGTTCTTTTCTTAAAGATCCCACTAATCTGTTACAAAAGAAAACAAATGTGTAGTGTAAGCATTTATTTTCTAATAGATCAAATTGTCACTGTGTGCAACTAGTAAGATCAATCCAAGAAGAAGATGATTTCAGCAATATGGCTAAAAGTTGTTATTAGATATTTTGAGTTCTTGGACAAGAAAAAGTTGTACGAATGGGCTTTTACGTAATGGGCTTTTAAAAAGCCCAGTAATATTTTGGAGAGATATATTTAAGGGTAAATTGCATATTATGGCAGTTGACCAAGTTTTAATTTCAAGTTTTGGCAAACTGAGAATGGCCTTTCATGTTTTGACATTTTGGCGAAAATCTGACCATTTTACCCCTACCAACGGACCGATGTACTGTTCACTGTACGGTTCAGTTAAGCGGTTCAGTTACATACACTGTTCCGGTTAAGCAATATATTTCGTTCTTAATTGATTTGTGCGGGAGTACAGTGACAAGTTGGGATTAATAACATTAAAACACAATGAGACATCAGTATTTAATGCCCAAAAAGTTTAGACATGACTCATGTCACAATTAATGCAAAAGTCATCATTACTTTTTCTAATATTAGTTTATATGTGTGAATAGTTGTAAGAGACAAACATGATCCATCAAACAAACAAATTTTTCTGAACGAATGTGATTCTGCATCGGTTTGATCTTCTTGATTTACAAAGTTTGGAGCCAAGACAAGCATTGAACGTGTAAGTAATGAAATTGGTTAAGAAGTTTTTTGTTTTAACACACTAGGGTCTTGATTGTATGCTAAGATCAACATTGTTTTTATATAAAAACCCAGAATATTTTTATTTCCACTTTTTTTAGTTGAAATTGCTAAATGAGGATAGATTTATGTTTATAAGTGTGTAGTTGGGAATTCTTTTTGTTTTTTGTAGATATAATCATGCTTTCATTTGCATTTAATGGGGTTCTGCTGAATTTATGATGCAGGTTGGTAATGGATATTCCCGTATTTACTATGGTGGGTGAGTGGAAATGCAAAGAAGAATAATGGAAATTTGAACCATGGGAAGGCTGGTTTGGTCGTTGTGTACGTGTTAGGCAAAACATGACGTACACGGCATTTGTACGTACATTATGCGAGGTTTTCAGTTTGAAGTGCACCAAATGCAATCCAATAATTAGTTACTGGATGCCGGGAAAGATGTCAGTGATGATAGAAAGTAAACGCCCTCCTGTATACATTGACAATCAAATGAGCCTGGATACATTCTTTTTGATTCGTGGTGGGGATCCTAGTGTCACCTTGTTTGTCTCTTTCATTACAACCGTCAAGGCACTCGGGAATAATATCCCTAGGACTGATGGTGACGATGCTGAAAGTGACCGTGTGTGTGGGAGTGTATATATGTACGTAAATATCTAAATAATTTGTATATTTACGTTTCAAATATTTTTTTACCATAAAAACAAAACATTCAAATCATGTATGAACAACACATGAAAAAAATACAGTCATACAAATAACTGACATAATAACTTAATTTTGATGTCAAAAAATTAAATTAATGTTGTACCATGTACGCTCCAATAAATATTTTTGTGTACGTACATAGTATAAGACTTATGTGATTTAGGCATTTTTAGGATATAACTGTTTGGAGAGGTCGTACACGTGTACGTGTATCTCAATATTATCGTGTACGTCTACGGGTTTAGTTTAAAATCTTATCTATTCTCAACAAGTAATATCGTATAACATAACGCTTACTAAAAAAATTTCAAAATAACAATTAAATAGAAATAACAACATCAAAAAAAAAAATATCATATATATCGTACTAAATACATAACATTTGGTTAACTCGCCGTATGCACCATCGTAGATACCAAACATTACAAAAATTCCTAAAAGGACCATAATTCTCTTCAACAGAATCACATATAATTTTACTGTAATATACCAAGTACTTGATCCTCTTGTGTTGATAGGTTCCCATCTAAACAACACCAATGCGAACATTTTTTTTATTCATAGTAGGGATCTAAGTGTAAACATTTTTGTGTCATTTTGTCCAATCCGATAAGCAAAGTGTGAATATAATGTACATGATGTGGGACTTTGTTGATGAAACTAACCTTGGGTTAGAGATGAAAACACAACAAAAACCATATTTGAGGTACCAAATGTAGATGAAAACAATGAGGAAGAAGAAGTCGAGGACGATAAAGAGGATGAACAGTAAGAGATTGGGGATGACGAAGAGGGCGTTGAAGATGATGATTAAAAACGATAGAAAAGGTAGTAGCAAAGATTACATTACAATAGATGGACTGAATTTTTGTTGAGAAATATGGGATATGACATGTCAGAGATGTTGGTGACACTCTACTTACCGTGGAGCTAATATGAAAATTCAGTTAATTAAAAGAATCGTGTACATATACTAATTAATGTGTACGACATTGAAAAATCATCGATAATTTTGGAGAGAATCAACCATTTGTGAGTCATAACCAAAAGGGAAGACATCATTTTTGGAAGAATTCGATGATTTAGTCAATGTCCGACTTGATGAAACAAAAGTATAAATTAGTATGACATGAGAGACATTGTAAGTTGTAAGTATGTTTAGAAACACTTATTTTTTTGCAAATAACAATGTCTTCATCTCCAGTAGAACTATCGTAGAATATTAGTTTATTATTATATCAATAAATATTTCTCAACAATTTTAACTCATCAACAAAGATATACGTACATTATTATACATGTACGTACATAACATTTTTAAAGTATGAGAAACAACTATACATTGACCATATATATATTTTTAATTATTATATATGCATAGATTTTATGGGAAAACCCCAAAAATATCTCATCTAAACGAAATAACCAAAAATTTCTAATGTACAAACTCAATAAATAATTGTGTATGCAGCTTTTACAATAAAACATAATCTAACATATTTACATGTCCACATGTACGTACACTGTAAATTATAAATACGTACACATAAGAAATTTAGTGAAGGGTATAATTGTAATTTTGCAATCGTCTTAAACCTCTGTAACCCTAATTTTGCAGTCACTTGTTAACAGTTATCTCAGAAATTTTAATTTTTTTAGATTTACGTTTTGAATGCTTAATACATCTAAATATTATACATCTAGCATATTCGAACGGATTTCTACTTCTCTCTCGAATCTCTCCGTCTCTCTCTCGTTCTTCTTCTTCGTTTTCTTCGACAATTTTTTTTTTTTTTTTCAAAACCAAACCGCAAAACCAATCAAAAGTAACTAAACCGCAAAGAAACTGTGCCGTTTGGTTCACTCGTTAGGGGGATTTTCGTCCTAAAAAGCCTTAACTGCCAAAACGTGAGAACCAAATCTCACTCCAAAAGCTATGTCATTGCAAACTATACACAAGTAGGTTTATCATCGGTAGTTGATAACGTAATGGCAGACGACGGTGGAAACGGAGACGGCGCCACCTCCGGTGACTGCTACGCTCATCATCACCGCCGAGATATCAAACTAGCAGGAGATTCAAGTGAAAATTTAGACTCAATCAGCTCTCTGCCTGATGTGATCCTCCAACAAATCCTCTCCTATCTTCCGACCAAATTATCCATCAGAACTTCAGTCTTGTCCACAAGATGGAGGCATGTATGGTACGATACACCTTCCCTCTACTTTGATGGACCATGAACTTTTTATAGGGGACTGAAGGCTGATACGTTAAACAAAACCCTAGCTCGATACAAGCTTCCCAAGATTATGAGTTTTCACCTCTATACCAATATGTTGGACAATGTTCCTTACATTGACGGTTGGATCGAGTTCGCAATATCCAGAAACGTTGAGAATCTGTCGCTGGATCTCGGTGAGAGTAATGGACGTGGTTTCCATAGTATTCCTGAATTCATCTACACCAGTTCTTCTGTTAAGCAACTCAGCCTACGCCATTGTCATCTGATTCCAAGATGCGCAGTGTCTTGGAAATCCCTGAAAAACCTTTCATTGCATACTTGCTCACTCTCTGATGAATTCTTTGCTAAGACTCTATGTGGTTTTCCGTTTCTCGAAAGCTTAAAGTTGTTTTATGTTATTAATCTGATGGTTATTGATCTAAGTAAATCGTTGCGTCTAAAAACATTAGAAATAGCTACTTCGAGCCGGGGCCAATGCACATTGTGGCACCACATATCCATTCCTTAAAATTGACAAAATCTAAGTTTTCATGTACTTTAGTTGATGTCTCGTCTTTAACCGAAGCTACAGTAGAAGCTATACCAGACGTTGACTTTTGCATGCGTAATCAGCCGACAAATCTTCAAGTCATGACGCTGAAGATGCTAGAGAAGTTGCAGAATGTAGAGAAGCTTACTTTTGGGGCAAACTTTCTTAAGGTATATATCTTTTGGTGTATTCAAGTGTCATATGGATATATTCTTGTATTCTCCAATGCCTAGATGTTGCAGAATTACTTACTTTACTCATGTAGAATCATTTAATTTCAGAGTATTGATTAGTTTTCATTAGCCTTTGATTTTCAATAAGTCTTGTGTTATTTGCACTCTCTAAGAAATTGCTAAAAACTAATATATTTTTCTTGCTCAAGAGTTATGTGTTTCGGTATTCATTTTTGGGCAGTGCTTTCTGTAGCTTTTATCTATTGCCAAGGTCCATGGTGTTTCTTTTCCAATGTTCAAGGCTAAAGCTTTGACGGTTGAGACAACAATGTATGAGCATTGTGTAACTCCTGGGGTAGTAAGTGTGCTACAAAACGCACCTGAACTAAAGTGGCTAACCCTAGTACACATAATGGATAGCCGCAGCGGCTTCATACAAGTATATTAACCTCAAACCCTCTTTTCTTATTCTTTACGACCATTCAAACTATATATTACCGAGTTTGAATAATCCTAAAATATCATTTCCTTTCGCTTTGAGTTTTTAGAATCTGATATATTGTTTTAATTTGTGTTAATGAAAATGTTTCTGTTGTACACAGAAGGATGATCTTCTCTACAATTTGGATCCACGGGATCAACATTGCAGGTGCTGGGTATTTGAGAGGACTTTCTCGCTAAAGACAAAGCATGTTGCTTCGTTCTTGAAAATTATCCTGAAAAACACGAAGACGTTAGAGAAGATGGTCGTAAGATTGAAAGATTATCTTGAAGAAAAGTGTTTTGAAGAGTTGCTTCAGATAGTTCCATCGCTCTCCCTCGACAATAATATCTCCATTTTGCTCAGCTAAACCAAGCCGAATCAGAGAGTTTGGTCTGGAGTCTTACTGGCTATATATGTTACATCAAATCTCATTTTAAAAGCGTACTAAGATGATGAAAACTTTACTTTATTTTGTTGGATTATTTAGGAAATAATAATGACATCTGTTGATTTTGTTCTCTATATGTGAATCTATATACAGTATACACAAAACCATTGACAAATTTTAATTTGCATAAATATATTCATACAAAAAAAAATGATTAAAACAAAGTATTTGTATTTAATGGGCTTTTATAATAATACCCAATAATATATATATATATATATATATATATATATATATATATATATATATATCTTGTCGAAAAAGCTATATTTCAATGAATACACACATAATCTTGTAGGTAGATAACCTTGATGTGTGTATATATTGGATAATGTCTAAATTTAACTTTATCTAATATATAGTTGGATATAGTATATTAGCATCTATTTTATATGAATGCACACATAATCTTATGTAAGAATTTTTAAAAAATATATATCTTGCTCAATCTTATTCTTAATACTGATGAAGCGTAAACATGAAATAATTTTTCTTTAAATATATAGTATAATTCACAATAGCAGCATTAAAAATCAAAATGCAAAACACCAGAATTTCATCAAAACACTTGTGTAAAAAAATGTAGCAAGTCAAACGACTATTCCTTGAAATTAAAACCATCATTATTCTGTTTAAGCTCCGACTCAAACCTATCATTTCCATAATCACTTCTTTTTTCCAACCATCCGATGACGTCGGCAAAGACAATTTCAATGTTCTCTGGTGTCTCGCCGTTGAGCAAACCGTGCCACATCCCAGGGTACAACTTTAAGGTCTTGTCAGCGCTCAACGCAACCTTGTACAGTTCTTGGCTCACTGCTTTATCTGTTACTTTATCATCACCTCCGTGTAATACCATAAACGGCAATGAAACCTATATAATCATTATATATATGCATTAGTTGTAAATTATAACCATAATTTATACTATATTACAAATTTTCGGATGATTTTTAGACACAGAAAACCTAATCACGAATATATTACTCTTTGAGTCCAATCTGAATATCAATGCATTAAGGGAATCTTGAATATATGTAATCATTTATATATATACCTCTTTAAGTGACTTCTCCAAGTCGTTGCTGATCCTTAAGAGCTCATACGCAGTTTTCAAGCGTGGTCGTCCTTTGGAGCATAACGGATTTTCTCTAACCTTAATTAGTCATATATACCATAATGTACAAAAGTTAAATCAAGCGTTGATCAGTTTACACAGATTTTTTATAAACTAATCATTTTGATTACTAATGTTATATAGAAACATACCTGTTTTCTTATTTCTGGCTCTTTATATGAAATCTCGATGATATCTTGACTAGGAATGATTTTCCATTTGGGTATAATGGAGATAAGCTTTGTTAATATCGAAATAACAAAAGGACTTGGCTTCATTTCTTCTGCGATCTGTGACAAATGAATATATATTCCACATTCATACGATTTC